ATTAACTTAGACAATGTTCAAGTTTTTTTTTTTTTTTTTTTTTTTTTTTTTTTACTTTTATATACAAAGTAGGTTTTTCATTTTTAATAACGTTAGGTAGGTAATCTTTATTCAAACACGGTTAACAAAACTATATATGTATATATATTAAATATTCAAAAAACTGTTACATTTTTGCCGTGTAGGAGTCTGACGTTGAGAAGATTTTGCCAACGCCTTTAATAAACTGAGAAATTGTTGTTGATATCCTTAATTGGCACCTGGTAATTCATTCCAATACTGCACCACTGTAGCTCAAGCTGCCTTAGAGATATCAGTGCGTGGTCGAGGAATGAACGTTAAAACCTAAAAGCTACAAAACTGAGACCAGCAATGATTGATATATTTTACCAGTGTGTTTTACTTCCCGTTAGCATTCAATATGTACTTTGTCGTATCGCCTTTACTTTTCGTATCCTCAGCGGTCTCAGTTTTCAAGAATTTTGGTGACTAAATTTATTGAAATTAAAAAGTTAAGACACTTCACTTTATGTTGAAAAACTTTGTAAGAAATTGAACAAATTTGTTCAAATTAGTAAGTTCAGGAGACCTACAAAACTGTGCACTTACTTGTAAAATTTTGTAAGTTAACTTTTTCATGGATATATGGTATGCACTCAACCATGTAACAATAGGTAAAGGTGTTTTCTTCTTCGCTCATCATAGGTTGGAATAGCATTGGTTGCTACTTGTATTGCTCTTCAATGCTATCATACAAACCCTGAAATCAATGAAATGCCATTTTGGATGCGTTATTACGTTAATCAGCGACTTGGAAAACTGGTAGGGATAACATCGCTAAAGAAAAAGCTACCTGAAACTAATAGCGATGATGAGGGCGCTATCCCTTCTGTCAATGCCATAGACAAGCTGAGAAACTTGGTTTTTGGAAATAGATCGGAACATCGTTTCAATACAGAATCAAATGTTTCTTTGAGTAGGAAGCCATCTATGACAAGCTGTAAAATGTGCCAAAATGCCGGGGCCAAGTCAACAAAGTCATTGGCAGGATCCTCTAGACCTGCAAGTACGTTTGCTTCACCAAGTACTGTCTTTGGAGATGCTGAAAGCGTAGATACTATCGATGATCAAATGGACCACTCCGTGGATAGAAGCACAAGACAACCTAAGAGACACGCATGCGCATCAAGAAGCAAGTACCTTGGCATGTTAGGAGCAATCATTCATCGCCAAGATCACATCGTCGAGGGAATCCAGCAGCTTGCTGAGGACCAGGATGATCAAGACAAAGCCGTGGATGACCGCTTCGAATGGATTCTTGCTGCTCACATTATTGATCGTTTCTTCTTGTATTGTTTTATTGCTGTACTCTTCGCTTCTATTTTGATGATATTTGCACTTGTTCCAAAACATCCAAACATCGATGAAATTCAAGAATAACAGGAAGATCTCAAAGAAAGAAGATTATGCATCGTTGATAAAGGAGGGAATCTAGTCGTTTAATTAGTATTTCCAGTTATCAAATATATCAAATATAATGTCCGACAAAACACCCAGTCTATAGACCATCACCTGAAGAAGGGAACTACTCGCAGTTGTAGTCGAAACGTCGTTGTTTTAAAACCAATTACTGCAATAGTCCCTTCACAATTCCCTGCGCCATCTTGAAAGATAACCGTGCCTTTGCATCGAAGCGAGAACAGCGGTGTCCTTGCAATGATACAGGAATGTGAATAATTGTCCAAGTTGTTAAAAAGGTCGCTATCATTGCAAAGGCACCATCGTCCACGCTTCGACGCACAGGTACGGTTACCTTTCAAGATGACACAGTAGAGCAAACTGTGAAGGGGACTATTGAATAAATAAGTACTTCCTCCTTTAGCAAGATTAGTCAGTTGAACCAGTTATTGGTATAAAGGGCCCAAGTTTGAAGACCTACACAAATCTAGTGCAGTAAATGAAGTGCAACCCAGCTTAGCTACAATAAAATGCACGTTTATGTGCACACTTAATTGCAGCCCTTTTGAAGGTCCAAGAGGACTAGAATATGATAGCACACTTTATTACGCATCTTTGTCTAATGTGCTTTTATAGTAATAACATCACTGATGCTTTTATGAGACAATTAGTTTTTAAAAATCTTAAACACTTACTAAAACAGGTCGCAGTTGGAGACACCCTTTTTATTACTTGGATATATGGAATCTTTGGCAATAAAAATTGCAAAAAGATTGACGTTAGGAACCTCTCGAGAAAATATGTTTTGCGGTAAATTTTAAATTTTAGATTATTCTTCAGTTCATGGATCAAGCAGGATAGAATTTGCTGTTGATGACAAGTATAACATCATTCCATGCAGCAGAGGTATTTTTTATGGTTATAACAAGCTTCTTTAAATACGATGAAAAGAAGCTTGCTGTTAGTTATAAAAAACAAACTGCAGTTAGGTGAACGATGGATGCATACATGCATGCATGCATGGACGGATGCATGCATGCATGGGTGC